GCAGCATAATCTATTTAAGTATAAAAGAAATTTGCAGGGAATGGTAATTTATTGTATTGAAATTGTTGTATATTTCATGATAAGCTAAGTTATTAAAAAAAAAACTGGGAGAAAAGCTTTCAAAAATCTGTGAAAAGTTTTTAAAGTTCTGCGAAGATCGAGTTGAATAACTTAAGATATTACCAAGTGGAAGCATATGCACTATAATAATACTTGAATAACAGAAAAATATAATATCAAATTTTACGCTCATACCTTTACTAGATAAAAGGTAGAGCTTTTTTGTTATTTGTGAAAACCTTCTTTGTTTTGTAAAACAAGTGTTATATTCACTTAGTTTGACTAGCAGTTTTTACGAAAATCATTTTCATATTAGAGATAAAGTGGAAGTCTTAACATTAGGGCGTGACCAACTTCTTCACATACTCAACCTATAAGTTGAAAGCTCTGTTTCAATTAAGCTGTAAAAAGCATTTTACACTAAAATTGATAAATTTATTTGATTCCATTGTGATATACTGAATTGGGGAAAGTAGAACTTTATAAGCGATATCCTCCTTGGAAATTTATAGCATTTTCCTTGAAAGCTTTTATCACTTTTTTCTAATGATTATCACAAATTTGCATTTTCTATATATGTATTATAAGATTGATCTTCTTTACCTAAAGCCCAATGAGCGCTAAGATAAAATTGATTTGAAAGCTTTCATTTAAAAGCTTTGGACCATGCATATTTCTGCTTAACTCTCAAAAATTATCTTACTTAAAATTATAAAAAGGTTTAGGGGGTTATATCTTCTTGTGAATCGGAAAAAAAAAAACATTTTTTTTGCTTGTATATATTTTGAAATAGTCTCTGAAAATTTTTGCGTCAAATAGTTACAGAGATATGCGCGTATTTGTAAGCATATTTTCATTTACTGTAAACGGCCATCAAAACTTTAAACACACACGAACTTTTCAGTTATATTTACCAGTTAATAATCGTAGAAATAAGATTTTTTATACTAATTTCAATTTTTCAACCACTTTGAAGTGTAAATTTTTTTCTCTCCAAAAACCGAACTTTTTTTGGGAAGCCACCATTTTGTCTAAAATCTAAAATATACTTGTGCTTCGACCATAAGGCATTTGTATACATCTATTGTATTATTTTTTTTTTTTGTTTTGTTTATTTAAAAAGCGTTACTTCAAAAAAAAAAAATCAGGAGAAAACCCTTTTTTTCTTACCTAAGATATTATTTGTTTCTCTCTTACGTTGGGTATAACTTTAATCATACAGTAAATTAAACTGATTTCGTTTAAAAGCTAAAGTAATCGGATCAGACTTTAATTGCTAACTATTATTTGCTTAAACGGTCAACACTTAGATAACATTACCACTTTTTATTAGAATTCGATTATTTATAAGTGTATAAATCATTTATAAACTCATATAAATGGTGTATAAATAAAACTATATAAACATGTGTATAGTATGCTGCGTTTATTAGTATGTACTTTATTAATTATTATGTTACAAATTTTAAACATATTATAGTTTCTTTAGTCGAAGCTTTAATGCGCTAATAGTGCACTATAATTAATTTAGGTGTGTGTTAATTAAAGCTTAAGTGTCAAATGAATAAGTCAAAAGTATCAAATATATAATACATTTGTATGTATATAGCGTAATATGTATATAGTTAACTGCTTAAATTTATATTGAGTTTCGTTGAATATTTAATTGTAGCGGTACACTCATATATTAAAACTATATGCAATAATATTATTCCAGATATGTGTACCATTATACCTTTATATATGTATGTATATATTATATTAATATCGCCACTTAACAGCTATTAGTTATTTATAAAACAATTCACTACGCTTTCATGCTCACAAATATAAGCTTTATACTTAACATACTACTTGTAGTACGAGTATAACATAAGTACCACGTATACACATTATATTTGTGTACATATATGTATATCCATATATCCTTATTAAATTTATGTATATATATATATATATACATATGTTTGCAAATATTTAATTTCACACAATTTAAACAATTAGTGCACTTTAAATAATACGTTTGCAACAAATTAATCTCGAATCTATTAAATCATAAAATTTTTCATTCACTTGATACAAAGACCGCTATGACCTTTGATGAGCTTAATCGCTTTAGGACGCATTCACTGCAGCCGGTATTTAATTTGCGTAAATGTGAAAATCACATTCGTTGAAATTTTGCGATGAAGTGTCGAAGTACTAACTCTAAGCTTGGTGATAAGTCAAAATTTCAGCCTCAATCAAGCTGTTATGTGAGCATCCATATCTGTGAATCTATCTTACCACATACACTGCAATATAGCAATGCCTGCTTTCATGCAAACATCAGCAGCGTTTATAAACAATTTTTTGTTGATCTATATTCCACGATCTTGTAAAAATATTGGCCTCTTCTTTCTAAACCGCAATCAAAAATCCTTGAAGCAATCGACAAGACAGTCGAGAGCTACTTAACCACTGCTAATATGATATTATCCGAGCGAAATTTCCCTCAATCGTCAATTTCGTCGAACGATTCATTAAACTTTTTAAACAAAATGTTTTTAACTTGCCTTAGAAGTAGTTTCTTCTCAAGAATGACAACCAAAGCCTTGTGCTCACTTTTAGTTATCACGTGATTCCTCACTCTACCTGGCTAATCATCAACGTTTCCAGTTTCCCTATAATGGCCAAACCATCTCTCCACAAATATTCAACATGTCTTTAAATAAGCTGCAGTTTTTTTTTAGTAGGCGATTTGGGACTTTTGTGTGGCTTCAAAAAGGCTGCTTTAAAACGTCTTATACTGAGCAGTCATATTTTTATTTCACGGCACGACGTGACACATTAAGAAAATCGAAAAAAAACTGATCGAATTGTACGCCTCAGTGATCGCAATTGAAAATGTCTTAATTGAAAAAAAGAATAATAACAGGGTTGCGAATTGATCACGCACAGAAAAAACGTTATTTTTTGAAGGCATTTTATGTTGATATTGTGTCGTGAAAGACGACTAGTCTCTCCTCGAGAAATACTTTGTAGTACAATAGACCATCTGTTGATATCTCTCAGAGAGTTGAGCATTGAACCAACTCAGCAAATAGCACACCAACGTTGGGTCAACCAAGTATTTAAAGTCTCTCTGGCCAACCGTCAGCAAATGGAGATCTCAAAAACCTTGAAGTTTACAAAATAACAGCTAGCAAACGTAGTTAAAATCCACCACTCTATTGGTAGTAGTAAAAATCCTCTCTTGATGAGCGAAAATCATCAAATATATACTTGGTAGGGAAATGGTCAACGGAAAGCAGTAGTAGCAAGTCTACGATGGATCTTTCTTGGAGTCTAATTATGTCGCTTCGTTGGGGCAGTCAAAGCAAGCCTAACGTTTTCTAAAATCAAACCTTTTCTTTTATAAAACCGTCTCCCTATAGATACAGCGGTTTATATAATAGTTTTTCATCTCAGTCAAACACACAGTGTTATATCTACATTTTATACGCTTTTAGCCTAAGTTTATGTACATAGTAGAGCTAAAAGCAAAATTGCATCGAAAACGGAAACTTTTTTCATCTGTAATAATAACATTCCGTATTTGATTAACGCTTTTTTAATATATATTTACTCTCAATAAAATCAATGTGCTCTAGTTTTCAACGCTCTGCTTCTCACTCCACTATACTTGTATGCTTAGCTTAAAGCAACATACACATAAAGTTTCAGTTATTTAAGACAGCTTGCTTTATTGTGTGTCAGAAATGCTTAATCAGCCAGCATTTGCTATTCTTATACCCTGAACAGGATATGTCACGAAGCTTGTAACATCAAGAAGAAAAATTTGGAGACACCATAAAATATATATATAATATATATAATATATAAATGATTATCTGAATCGATTTAGCCATTTCCGTCTGTCTGTATAAACGCAAACTAGTACGTCAGTTTTTGAGTTATCGATCTGAAATTTTGCTCTCGTTCTTTCCTCCTCAAGAAGCTGTTCATTTGTCAGAACTGTCGATATCGGACCACTAAATTATATAGCTGTCATACAAACTGAACGATCTGAATCAAATACTTGTATGGAAAGCTTTTTCAATTGTAGAGATATCTTCAAGGAATTCAGCGTGGATTATTATCGTATAATGGTGCAACCTCTAAGAAATTGTTCAGATCGAATCACTTTAACGTATAACTGACATACAAACTGATCTAGTGCTTGTATGGAAAACTTTTTTATTTGACGAGATTTCTTCAAGATATTCGGCAATGGTGGTTCTCCCGAATTATTCAGTTCGGCTCTGTATAGCATATAGCTCAAAATCAAGTTCTTGTAAGGAATCTTTTGTATTTGTGAAGGGTGTTATAGCTTCGGCGCAAGCGTAGTTAACGTTTTTCTTATTTTTGCTTCCGCTTAGACACTCATAAAATTCTATTTTAAATTTACTTCCGAATACGCGCCAATCACACTAATTGATACAACAACTTCCTGTTGAATTTTTACAACTGTACATGCCAGGTGGAATTTGTTACTTAAAAAATATACACAAGTTAAACTAGTTTAGAAAAAGTTCTACTACAAAGAGAGAAAAAAAAATGAAAAACCAGATGTTATGCTGTTCTAATTACTTAACGTGTGATGGAGAGAGGGAAGCAAGCGCGAATGCGCTGTACAACACAGAGCATGTGTAGAAATGTTGCGGAGTAACTAACAAAAAAAAACTATAAACAAACCGCTTTTGTAATAAAACTGTTTGATATAAAATAAGTTAAGATTATCTGTAGAAAACGTGACCTCAACGCAACACCTCGCATTACGCTGCGCACTTTTTATGCGCTTTTAATTAAACAATTTATTATAATATCGCAAATAAACACACACACACATGTTAGTCACTCAAACAACAACTTATATATTTTTCTCTCAAATCTAAATAAAAACAAAGTTTTATACGTGCACTCAATCAGTTGCAAACTGCAATCCGACGTGTGAACTGCGCTTAATCCAGTATTTTTTTCGCTAAACGCAGCAAAAACGAGTGACAATTAATTGAAAAGTGAAAGATATTAAGAAAGAAACGAAAACTTTTTTTCTAAACAAGAAACTTATTATAAATACAATAAAAATCAAATACAAACAATTTATAAAATCGATTTTTCGTAAAAACAATTTTTTCAATAATTTTTTTTTTCGTAAAAACAATTTTTGTTTGTCAATAATTTTTTTTAAATCTATTTTTCCCAACATTTTTTTTTTTTAAATTTTATTTTTTCAAAAAGCTTTTTTTATTGTTTAAAATTTGATTACCTGTTTTCAACCAAAAAATGCGCTCCACAAGCTTTTTGTGTACGCTCGTCGCATTATGCGCCGTGCTGTCGTCAACTTATGGCAGCAGCAGCGTGGCGACCAACTGTGCTGCTGGTGCAACATGCCCGATAAGTGGCAGCAGCACTACAGCTAGCACCACCAGCGCTACGACAGGCAAAAGTACCGAAAACATTCATAACGACAGCAACAACAACAAGCGCATTTTCTTGAAAGAGAAACGTAAGTTGTTGACGCAATGCGCGCAATTTTTACAAATAACAAAAAAAAAAACACAACCGAAAAAACATGTTTTTGTGTTAACTTTTGTTGTTTTTGCACTAACTGTGTTTTGCATTTTTACCATTCACAGCAAAAGAACTGCAAACCTGTCAGCGTAAGTCAGCTGATTTTGATAAATGCATCGTAAATGCCTATCAAAATATATTCAGCACTTGGAAGAATGGTAAGAGGAGGAGAGGAAGAGTGGTGAAATTTAAATACATAAATTTTATTCTTATTTTCTACCAGATAGTTAAAAAAAATTATGTTCAAATTCTATTAGAAAATTTTCGGCATTTCGGGATTATGATATAATAATACCGAAAATTCGGGATTTCAGGATAATTGATTAAAACTTTTTCTTTCACTGTAAAAATATTTATGTTTAAATTGGTTTTGAAAATTTTCGGGATTACAATATAATTATTCCGAAATTTCGGGATTTCGAAATGAAATGCCATATTTAATTTAGTAACTATCACAGTGCGGGATTACAATATTCGAAATTTTGTAATGAAAAGCCATATGTGATGTAGTCGAACATGTCCACCAATCAAGCGCTGTGCCTCAAACTTTTAAGAGTAGCTTTTTGTTTACGCATTTATTACTTATACTATTGTTATATAACTTTTTTTCAATTTCTATAGGTATCGATGGCGTCCCTCATTCTACGCCCATCGATCCATTATTCGTAGAAGAATTCGAAGTCATCGAAGATCGTGAAAACATTACACCGATTGCAGTGAAGATTAATAATATAACAGTAACCGGTTTGAGTGAGGCGAAGGTCAAGAGTGTCAAGTAAGTGAGAGTATGTTATGCAGTGATTATATAACCTATATATACATTACATTTAAATAACTGATTAGTATGCCATTATTCGTAATTAACAATTAATTGGTATTCAATTATGGATGAAATAATCTATGTATGATAATGAGGCGCATAAAATCAGCTATTTACGTGCATATAGGTATATGTAGGAGACAGCATTCAGTGACAATTACTAGCAAAATACAATAATTGACTTAGATTGCTAGTATGATTTAACCATATACATATACATATGTATGTACATATATACATGTACATATACATACTTACTCTGTACGCTAGCGGCTAATTGCTTTCATTCTTTCAATTTTTCGCACCACAAGCTTCAAGGATAATGAGTACGATTTCAAAATGACCTACTTAGTGCCGAAAATACGACTTAACGGTCACTACACAGCCAAAGGACACGTGCTGCTACTCAAACTCGACACGAGCGGCGAAATGTTTATGGAAATACGTAAGCAAAAAATTAAAAAAAAATTAAAATTCACAAAAAAAATTATAATACACAATTTCGCTAACGTTAAGAACACTTTTTCGCTAAAAACATAGAAATATATTTCGCATAATTCCACGCACATTATTTTTAAATATCGCCACAAAATTCACTAAAACAACTTTTTGCCTCCCCTTCTTTTACCACCACCATCCAGTTGAGGGCCTCTACACCGTTACGACCAAGGTTAAGTTGAACACTTTGGAAAATCACAAATTTTTTAATCTGAAAGCGCTACAATTTAATGTGGACTCCATAAAGGATTTGAATTTGCACTTTGACAATTTGTTCAAGGATAAAGTGTTGAACGAGAATACGAATGCCGTGTTCAATGACAGCTGGCGTGTATTTTTCGACATATTCAAACCGAAAATCGAAGCGGAAATCAATAAAGTACTATTGGCGCACTTCCGCAGCGTGTTCGCACAGGTGCCGGCCGAGTTTTTCATCGCCGACGTTGCAACAGCAGCGGTGGCGACTGCAGAGCATGACACGACCCCTAGTACCGTACATAGTGGTAACATCAAAGATATTACGCATTTGGAATTGCAGCAGGCGCCAGCGGCCCACAGCAGCTCGAAAGCCGAGGAGAAGGCACACAAATTGCATTGAATTTAATGCTTGAGCGAATATATAATAAGCTAGTTGTGCGCATTGCATGAAGTACATATGTATATGTAATTTAATCGATTAAATAATAACTTTCAAAATATACTTTTAAAGCATTTTTGTAATTTTCTTCAGAAATTCAATCAGACTGCCAGCTACGCATGCGCTTCTGACGCGGCATGTGCTTTTGAAGCATAGCTAAAGCTGCAAAAACTGTTATACATTTCGTTTTTAAAGGTAGAAAACCAATATAATGTAACTAGTTTATACTGAAGCATACCTAAAGGGTGCGTTAAAACTGGTATACACATTTTATTGGTGTGAAGAAACAATCAATATTTTCTTGCATACTTTTGGACGGGCCAATTAACGACAGCAGAGCTTCTTATATTACATGGGTTTCAAAACCATGTGTTTGCTAGCTTTAATGTAAATATTTAGCATACTTTTAGGCGATGCATTGTCAATAATGTACAAAATCTATACAAGTATATCGGTCAAATATTTTTCTTTGGCTTATTTGGTAACAATTGGTAAGTTTTCGAGAGATTTATGAAACACATCGGACTTGATGAGACTCTATAGAAAGGCGAAAGAAAACGGATCAGCCATGGAACGCAAAAGTAGCTAAGTTTTTTTTAAAGTGGTTAAATTTTCTATAAAACACGTTAACTTTCTACAATTGTATAAGGCACATGCATTTTTCAATCTGTCCGGAAATGATGATATATTCCGGCGAGTCGAGAAAAGCTTGCAAAAAGTCGTTAGTGTTATATAATATTTTCTTGCTTTCAAAAAAACGTTAGTGTTATATTTTACAAAAAAAATATTTTCGCATCCAGAACTTTGAAAATGATATAACAATTTTAAACCAACTCTACCAATACAGTTGTTGCCTACTTTTAGGCTAACCATGTGCATTACTATAGAAGAATCATTTCATGAAATTGTTCAAAAGCACTTACCGAAATTCATTCGTAGTTTTCAGTAAATTTATACTTGATAACTACCAGTTTATTGTGTAGTTGGCTTTCACTCATTCATCAGTGCCGCATTTAAAAGGCCTGGCTCTGCAATTACTATGCATTTCGATTTTCAAAAACCAACAAAACCATGCAAATTGGCATTTATCGAGACAAGTGTTGATATTTCATGGAACAACAAACAAGTTGTACAGAAATTTAAAACATTTGTAAGAGTTACGTGAGTAAAGGTAAAATTTGTGAAGAGAAACCATACGATTTTGGACGAGTAGAAGTAGGCACATAAATATGTAATTAGAAGCTTGTGGTACTTGGGTTCAAGTACAATTTTTCGAAAACAATTTTACAGCAAAACAAATATTTGCTGCAATAAGTGTGTTTGGGTATTTACATACATGGATTGCTGGGCGATTGTCTAAAAACTAAGTACAGTAATTGCTAGCTTAGTTGAGCCATACGCTTGAACAATAAACGATGCAAATTAAAGTTTGCAATTGAAGTTAGGTAAAAAAGCAAATATTGGTTTCTAGCCAATGGTCGAAGTAATACTTGCTTATAAATATTTAAGGAATATTTACACAGTAAAATTTTTGAAGAAAAAATTCGAATATTTTAGTTACATGCGTTATTCAACGGCACTAAAAAAATATCTTCAACTACTGAAGTGATTACGGCTTTCTTGGTGGATGAAGTTAACTCAAGTGAGTTTAAGCACCGTAGGTTTTATGCTTATTATTTCTGGGTTGCAATGAAGCTACAATTCGAAGAATATAGAGAGAATCACGATAGATAAAAAGTTGATAAATGATTAATTTTCTGGCACCCAGAGTTGCATTTTTAGCTTGCTAGTACAAAAAACACACAAAATTAGTATTGTGTTGCAGGCATTTTATTTTCGTCGAGCTGTCGTTTTACTCAAAGCCATTGAAGGCGAATTAAGCCAAAATTCAAAGCGAATCAGCCAACGCTAGCCTACAAGCAACAACAACAGCTGGTCAGCCATTCGTCGTTTCGGCTTCCGATTGATTTGTTTTGTTTTTCAGCGGCTTGTTTGTTTGTTTACTTGCTTGTTTGCTTGCTGACTTGGTGGTCTGTGGCATGTTGTTGACATGATAGCGTTGCTGCAGCAACAACCCAAGCCAGTCCAAGTGCATTGCATACATGTAGCAGATGCAACAGTGCCACGTACCAGCATAATTAAGAGAACTAACGGCATAACGGACTTACCACGCATAAACACGCAGGCACACACACACACGCACACACTTTTTCTGATGCAGACATATAGAAGTATAGTATCTCAGCGACATTTGATGCTTTTCATACTCACTCCTTCCTTTACACTGCGCAAATGGCACTTTGCCGCTACAATTTTGCATATGATAATAAAGCGCAGTCATCCGGCTCATATGTGCAACCAAAAAGTTGCACGCTTCTCAACATGCTGCCATTGCAACTCAAACTCCATTGTAGCTTCAACTTCAACGCCATTTCTCTCCAACCATGAGCATGCCAGTCTTTGAATAAAGCAGTGTTTTAATATTGCTTGACCCTTTGTTTGTTGCTGTAGCAGCATCACTGCCACACACACAGCACACTCTCTCTATGCTGGCTTGAACAAGAGCGCTAACAGACACATTCGTAATTTAATTGAATGGACATAATGGCTGTTGGTCAGCAGCTGGCATTCAAGCGGCCAGACAGACAATCATTCTGTTGCATTTTCACTCTCCTTTGTCTTCCAGTAGTAATACTATATGTGTGTGTGCTTGTGCTGTCGCTTTGGTTACGTTTTGCGTGGCTTGCAAATGGACCTGAAGTGGTCCTTTTGGTTAATTGAAAACAATTAAGTGGAAAATTGAAAACATTTTGACAGTCAACGAGCGTACACAAGCTGATGCTTTTCTGCTTTTCAACGCTTCGCTCTTACGTCGCGCTTTTGTGTCTGACCATTGGATTTTGTTTTATTTTTTTCTGATTTTTGCGTTATATAATATCTCCGTAATAATATCTAATATCTGTCTGTAGCATAATTTGCATGAAATTTTTTTTTTCATCTTTTTTATAAAGTAGCTTAACTTTTCAACTAGGTTGAGTTTGACATGACTCCAATAACTTCCCACTGTCAATACTTACTTAGAAATTAGTTACAGCTTAGCACATATAGCGATCTTGATACTTGTATATAAAGTACTCTAATGAATTATTAGTAATATTGACGTCTCATCTCAGAAAAATGTGCTTTATCGAAGAAGGAGTCTTGCATTGGTCTTGTTCTTAGGCTCAGTTGAGGATCGGCTGATCATAGAAGGTTTAAGAAACAAAAAATATTCTAGAATAGGTAGGTTTGATCACCCTTGTCGATTACAGACATTACAAGTGATATGTAACTCGATTATTATGTCATAAAATAGTGTCTGAAAGGTAATACAGGCTAGGAGGTGTAGATATCAGGCTACTGATGGCTTTTTAGGAGTATATAGGCTGTGTTAACATTAAACTTTATGAAAATCTTAAGAAAAAAAAGAGTACTACTGCACCAATTATTAGTTCTTAGCAATATAATTAGTTAAAAAACGAGTTGAGCTAAAAATTTGGTTACAATCAATTTAAAATATTCTCAAAGCCATTAACTATGCTTGGAGTATGATTTTGGTTATTTAAACAATTCAAAAATTATTTAAAAACACAGTGGGATATTTTAAGAAATTTTTATAAAGGGTTGGATCACACTCAAAATTAGTGCATCGGATTTATAAATGCTCTTGTCTCCGTATTGTATTGCAAATTTATGGATTCGGGTAGCGGAACTACTGAAAGCCCAACAAGTTTTGTGCATTGAAGATGATTCTAATGATGAATCCTTCGTCTTTTCAACAATTTTTAGAAGGAGATGATTGCATTATTTGAGTGTATATATTTGTTTGTACCCCACGTTCACGTCTACTTGTTAATTTCAATAAAAACGAAAAATAGTTTCAGCTTCTGGCTCTGGCCATAGCAGCGCTGACTCTGGTTCTGGCGCTTAGTTTATGTCTTCTAAGAGAATCTGTAGCTGAATCTTAATTAGCGCTTAGAGACGACTACTTGTATTTAAGTGACTTAAGAAGCCCATGAGGGAACTTTTGGATCTGAGCTACAATAAAAAATCTTAAATAGCCAAGCTAATCTTTTCTTTTGTTGGTTGAGATGAGTTATGTGATGGCAGCAGTTTGGCTCAGGTGTACCTTAAATATTACTAGCTATGCATACGTTGTGCGACTTGGCTTGGACTGACTTCGAGTGTGTCTGACTTGGTCGCAAAAGTTCTGTTTATAGGTGTATCACTTTTTTAGTACTGTTCAGTAACTGCTTACGCCTTTTTCAGGAGTTAAGCTCAGTTCCTGTGTTTATAGGCAGGGATCGATATTCGCGAGATAGACAAATCAAACTGAGTGAAACAGGTGAGCAAAAGAAAAAGCCCTAGGCTATAGAGATGGATTTTTTTATAATGTATAAATAATGTTTATTCATTGAATCGTGAATAGGTTATATTAAGTTTGCCATGAAGTTTGTAACACCTAGAAGGAAGGAAAGGTTGATGAACTTCATCAGGAGCACAGAGTGGTTCAGAGAGGACATAATAGAGTTAGAGAATTTTAGTCCGAGTTGTTTTACTATGGGCCTTCCAAATGCCTGGGTGTATCGTCAGACGTCCATCCTAACTACCTACCTAGATAGAAACGTCGGAGACCCTATAAAGCATATATATAAATGATCAGTGTAACGAGTTGAATCGATTTTATTTGTTCTGTCTTTTCTTCTGTTTGTCTATATATATGTGAACTAGTCCCTTAGTTTTTGATACCTTGATCTAACACGTCGTTTACTCCTCAAGCAGCTGCTCATTTGTAGAAACCGCCGATATCAGACCATTATTGTATATAGGTACTAAGACCCATAAAAATCAAGTTCTTTACTTTTTCAATTGTGAATTATAGCTGCGATGCAACCCAAGTTAACGTTCTTTCTTAGTTTTAATTAAAACTCTTTCAGTTTGTCTCTAACTTACCAAGAAGACCACAATGCGCAACCCACATAGCCCCTGTACACATTTGTGGCACGCTCATTTACCTGCGTGCA